TTCTTCTTCTTCTTCTTCTTCTTCTTCTTCTTCTTCTTCCCCTTCCCCTTCTTCTTCTTCTTCTTCTTCTTCTTCTTCTTCCCCTTCTTCTTCTTCTTCTTCCCCTTCTTCTTCCCCTTCTTTTTCTTCTTCTTCCCCTTCTTCTTCTTCTTCTTCTTCTTCTTCTTCGGATCCTTGGCAAGGTTTGCCAAGGTGGTGGGCAGTACCTGGGGATCTTGGATCTTACAGGTATACCCCCACCGAAGACTGTTTTGATAACCAGGATGATAGCCTGGCGTGTACACTGGAAATTGTTTTGGACTTTTTTGGCTATAGGCGTGGGTGGGTTTTTTCTTCATCTTTTTTAATTCTTATTTTTACTCCTGCGCTCAATTTTTTTGGAATAGAAAGAGCACTTCCCGTGGAGTTTTTGGACACCTGGTACAGACCTGCGAGCTGGATACAAAACTACGGCTTCAAACCTCTGTTTTTTTGGGCACATACTACAAACCTGCGAACCGGTTTACGAAACTGCGACCCCCATGCATTTGGGCACGAATGGTCCCCCGGCCAGCGCTTTTTTAGGATGTCTGACCGTTGGTGAATCCGGATGGAAGTAGAACTGGATACATTGCGACGGGTTACATTGGGACAACGGTTTTTGGGCCCTGGACAGTAGACTCCCGTTGGCTTTGCAGCTCGGTTTTTCTGATCTCCTCCTTCAGAACATTTTTTGTGCTTTGGCTCCCGTACTCGGACGGCACTTGGATGACACATCGCGCTATCAGTGATATGTTATATGCTCGCAGCAAGAGGTTATCCCTCTCTTTGCGAGTCGTGCTGTCTATGTGCTTGAATCTGTGTAGAAGCGCACATACCTCTGTCCCTTTTTTTCTTCTTCTTTACGCTTATATATGATGACTATGGGGAATGGAATTAGTAGATCAGACGCCGGACAGTTCTTTCGGAAACACGATGCATCGGAGAGGTGGGGCTTGAAAGGAAAGGTGAAGGAGAGAGGGAAGCGAGTGAAAGATTGGTTTGCACTTGTACTTTAGCCTCCTAAAAAAAGAGACTCGGGCACGCACCGAGTCGAAACGCGTCGAGGATCTGCGTGATATTACSGTGTTTGGCAGAGATTTGAATCTGTGCTCTCCGTGGAACGGTTTTGTGTGTTTGCTTTACCATGACTTCTTGGTAGACGTGACAACCGACGTAGCTTCAGCCGTCCGTGTGGTCACGCGGGTTATCAGTTGCTCCTTAGGGTGACGAGGAACCCGTGGAATTCGGAGATAGCGGAAAAGTGGTGGGGAGGAGGAATAGACGGTGGAAGAGAACGGTGGAAAGGGGATATGTCACCGCTGTTAGAAAGAAAAATGCGCTTCTTTCGACATATGAGGGGTATTAGGAGGATGCGTCGTGTTTTGAAGGAGCTGATTGGCAGTGTGATTTTGCGGATGTCCAACCCCAATAGGCATACCGAATTTGGTAGAGCAAGGATTAGGAACTACTTGAACCGTAGCATGCGCCTACTTGGGATGTTATACGAGATTAGCGTCGAGCCTATAGCTAGGAATACGATGCKGGCGTCTAGACTATATAAGTTGAAGATAATCCCCACCCTCAATAGTATGTTGAGGCTTTTCGATCGTGTCTGCTCGATGATAAGGCGAGCTATTGAGGTTCTCACTGAATCTGCGTGAAGGGTGGGAGTCGCATATCGGCAGGTATGGCGGCATCTAACGTGATGGGACAGATGGGGGGCAATCGAGGTGCTGGTGTGCACGGAGCTGTAGGCTCAGGCATGAACATGCCTGGGAATGTTGGCTCGGGTATACTTAACGCGGGTATGGATGGCCAGAATACTTCGCCTAACGGCTTGTCAGCAACACCGTTCGGCGTCGTAACATGCTATATCTGTGGGAAAAATGGTCACTATGCACGAAACTGCTGGCAGGCACCGGCCAGGCAAAGACCAGAGGAGGAGAACGTTGAAATGAGAGAGCTGCTCCTCCGGATCGCTAGAAGAGAAAWAGAGGAAGAGGACAAGAAAAAGCGGGAGATCGAAGAGGCGAGAAGGAAAGAAGAAGACGAGCGACGTGAAAGTGAGAAGGTACGGGAAGAACAGGCGAGAGAAGCCAAGTTGGAAGCTAYGATTCTCCGTATTTTGGCGCAGAAGAAGGAAACAACGAGAATCGTACCTGCACCACAGATCACAATCGGATCGAAGAAGCGATCTCCTGGGTCTAAAGCGCGGATGCTACGGGAGATCCGTAGCTACATCGCCGAGTTTGAGGAAGACAGTGAGGAAGTTAAAGAGGAGGCCGAGAAACTAGTTGAAGCATTAGAGAGTCGAAAGAAGTCGAAGAAAAGCGCTACTCTCGCACGAGCAGCGGTCCGCAGAGTCGGGAGAAGGGTGTCTACTCCAAGAAAGGGCAAAGCTCCTGGTGAGGATACACCAGCGAATGATGAAGTTCTGGAGACTCCGAAGAAGGTATGCCCAGCCGAGTGCTCCAGTGAAGGACTAGTTGAGTTCGCGTTATCACAAACTAAGGCGCTGAGTGGGATGAAAGCGCATGAAGTTCRGAAGATCTGTAGCAAGGAAGGGATTGATTATGTCAAAAAGGACGTATCCATCCAGGAGATTGTTAGATGTCGTACTCAATTGGCATATGAGGGCTTCTTCGAGCGAAAGGCTGCATCACCATCGACTCCGAATGCACAGTGCGGCGGCCTTGATGAGCTCTGATGGCGATTGGGATCACTACGTGCGACGCTGCTGCCAAGTTTTATGAACTGACTTCTCGAAGAGCACATCGGCAGAGTATAGGTATACGACCGATGATGATTGCGGAGGAAGAAAATGAGTTGGCACTCCTCATCATGTTGATGACAGTGTGGGGGTGCGTTCCCTGGATTAGGAAGTTGCTCAGGTTCATCGAACCTGGGAAAGTTGATGTTAACCAAGTTGGGGTTTATGCGATTGTTAGTCCATGCTGTAGACGTTTTTACATTGGGTGTACCGTTAGGAAGATAATTACCCGATGGGCAGAGCATGTAAGATGCTGTACCAACGGGAACATTGGGAATACACCGAGGCTACATACATGGCTTAGATCGTTCGGATGGCAGAGCTATACCGTTCTACCGCTCATCTCAAGGATAGAGGATATTCGGGTAGCAGAAAGTACATTGATTTCAAGATTCTCCCCATCGCTCAATACGGTCGGACGTCGGGAAGGTAGACGGAAGAAGCGTAGGAA